TTTTCTGATTATTTTTCTATTCAGATTTTCTATAATTTAAATTTTTTTTCTTACATAAATGTTTATATTTCAAACTTATCCCAATTTTATTTAATATTTTCCAATCATTAATATTTTTTTTCTTTTCCATTCTTAACTTTTTCTGCCCAAACCCCAACTTTATTTTCTGCGACACTTTCCTAAATATTATTGCAAACTTTCAGAACCCGTCCAATGAACTTGCCGTGCTTTCGCTATTTCTTTGGTTTTGTTGTTTTTACTAACAACATTTTATATATATATATATATATATTTTATTTTTATTTTATTTTTTTTTGGAATATACTTGAATGATTAAAATAACAAGCAGCACCAATTAAATATTGGAAATTCCCGGTTGTATTTTAGCAAGAACTTTAGCGACCAAAACAAAAAAGTCTCGAAAGAAAAGGTGAAAAAAATATTGAAAAATTGCAAAACAAAAAAAGCGCCGGCATACCTATGCAAATGAGGCGGCTAAGACGAAAGCGCAGTATATGCACATATACATATATGTATGTTCTATGTGTATGGATATGTATATATGTATATTTGCGTATATGTACATACAAATGCTTCTAAAGCGCTCTTCACGGATTGCCGAGTAAAGGTGGGCGGCAGCGAAAGTGGCGAGCACTAAAGCCAAGACAATTACTTCCCACTGGCTTGCTGGAAGAGTTGAAATTTAGATGAGCGGTAAGGCGCCTTAAGCGCTGCGGGCCTCTGCTTTAAAACGCAACAATGAAATTGAAAATTAATTAAAATTGAAATTAAAATTAAAATAATGAAAGAAATGCGAAAAAAATAATAAAAACAAAAGTCACAAAAGTGGTAACTTGATAGCGCCTACAAGTGAGCTCAAACAATCACACACACATGCATGAATGTATGTGTGTGAGCACAGTTGCGCTTGCTTAACGGCGCTGTTTAACGCCAAGCTAATTATCAAAGCTAAGACTAATTTCTGAATTTAATAATTAGAAATATATTAAATTTCTCATGGTTTCGAATTTCGAACGGGAACGCGGCATAAGTCCCTAAACGCTTGTTGTTGTACTGCGAAATTTCTGATTTTTTTCTCATTTTCTATTCCTCGCTTTGCCGTTGCTAATACAAGCCGCCTGCTGCTTACTAGCCTACTCGCTAGCTCTGCTAGTTACTACTGGTATTGTTGTTGTAATTGTTGCGCCTGGTATTTGCGACAATTTTTGCAAAACTCAGCCATTTGTTTGTTCTTTTGCGACACGGGAAACGAGTTTTTAATTTTCGTACATTTTTCGACTTTTTTTTCATTTTTTATTGTTGTTGTGCGCGTAAAAGCGAGCTTTTAGCCGGCGTCCCGTTGGTTTAAACAAAAAACAACACGAACGCAAGCCTATCTGAATCTTAACAGCATAAACGCCGCAGGCAACAACAACGCTCGGCCGCCTGGCAATCCCAGCCAGCCGACCTACGTTTTTGCGCGTTCTCCTCGTATAAAAAAGCCGCCGAGCCCTGTATTTGATAACATTCGCTATCGTACTTTGCAAGCTCGAGGTTCTAAGAACATCCCATTTCAATCAATTCAAAATTTTTATAATCAAAATGAACAAATACTCTGTGTGCTTGGCTCTCTTCTTGGCCGTCATCTGCTGCCTGTCCCTGTCAGAGGCCGCTCCAGTTCGTGAAGAACTCCTCGACTGGCACACCGCTATTGAGAAGATCATTGGTAAGTCGAAAATTATCGATCGCAGTAAATAGCTCAATTGTAAAATTGCTTTCGTATACTCTTTGCAGCGGCTTATGAAAGAAAGTATCCCGGACCATCGAAAATCTACCCACCAGAGGTCGCTCACGTCGTCGATCCCAAATACCTGTACCTCGCTTAATTAGTACCTTGTGTTTAGTGGATTGCCGTTAGGTTGTCTCTAGTTGTTGTGTGTTCGAACTTTAAGGCTTACTGTACCTAAATAATGTTAAAACAAGAGATATTAAAATTAATAAAAAAATGAGATTAAAAATTTAAAAAATAACCTATTTTTTGTGTACTAAGCACCCATAACTGGGTTAGTTAGTAATCAGAATAGACTAAGAGCTACATACAACGAGAGATATACGAAATGAATTCGTAGTAAGACTAATTTTGGGGAGACAGTAGTGCATAAAACACTTAGGGGGTTACAGGATACTCTTTTCGAACTCTCAACATAGGTCCTATAGTTTTTCTATGCCGACTAAAGTGGATGACACCGTGATCGCGGGAAAGTAATTTCAAATACTAGCAGAACTCTTAACCGGTAGAGAAACCTTTTAAAGATTTAGAGCCAACGAATAGCTAGCAAGACTAAGCTCCACATAGAACGATAGTGGCTGAAGCTACGGTTTTAAAGGAAACGTCGGTTACCATGGTGAGATAACGGTCACCATAGGCGATTAAGTTCTCACCGACATCATTTTATAAGAAATATCGACCGATGATTCCACCGGCCCACAAACCACACCAAACTGTTGTTTTTTCGGGATAAAATGGCAACTCTTGAATCTATTCAGGTTGCTCTTCGTCCCGAATGCGGCACTCTTACTTGCCTACATGCCCATTGAACTAGAATTGGGCCTCTTCGCTGAACAAACTTTGTCCCGAAAACGTCGGGTCTTCTGGGAACTTTTCAAAAGCCCAAAATTTTTTATAAAATAGCTGATTATAATTCTCATAAAATGCACTTAACCCAGAAAAGGAACGAAAATGTAGTACGAAACCGAACATTTCTCAGAACTAGATGAATTTAAATGTGTCGAACCATATGGAGGACCACCTCCATAGCTGCTATTTTGTCTTGAACTTGAAGAAAAAATCTAACTATATAACTAATACATAATTTTCGTTTTTTTTTTTTTTTGAAATCAGCCAAAATGAGGTGATTTTTCGTGCTTTAGTGTAGGATGAGCCTTTTTGGACATATGTTTGAAATGCCAGTGTCGATTCTGGATAAGTAGGACTTTAACCTGCTACAGTATCCAGAACGAAGCTGCGCAAGGATCACTCTCGTTACTCGCGGTAACTCGAGCTCTTCGTCTTCAATGGGTGGTGGTTTGACTCCAAGTACGCCATTCACCGAGAGGGAGTCGATGAAGATGTCAGTGGTATGGTCGGCGTATCGTTTCATGTCATCGACGTAGTTAAGGAATGACCTCTTGATGCTCCTACTAGAAGGTTCCGCTCTAAGCAGGTGACTGTAGCGATGATTTCTTGTATTGATATCTTTATAGGTGCTTGAGATATGTAATGTAAAGTTTGCAAATTAGCCAACGTTTGACTCAATGCAAACATACCAACGCTTAACTTAATTTTCCTTACATGTAACAAGCTTCGACTGGGATGATCCTCAGTGCCGTCAGTTTCGAAAACATAAAAAAGCCACAGAAAGTCAAATCTAGCAAATGCAATGGCTGACCGTCGGTAAACAAAGACAACGATGAGCAACACCTCGAATTTTGGTCAAAGTTGACACAGTTTTTTCCGTTTCAGTTGCAACGTCATACTAATTCTCACGTCTCATCACGAGTAATAAAGCATTTAGTGATTCCAGAATTCTCAACTACATTTCTTTTACGACCTCTACTAAATGTCGTGTTTGCAAAAGATTTAGATCTTCATACCTAAAACATTAACCAAAACCGATACTTAGGAGATTTTGAGTTATCATCATTAACAGAGGTAAGTGGACGACTCGTATGTGACAAATTTTCCATGTATTTTCGATTTTCACTGAACACTGGGAAGCTTGAAATGCCGTCTCTCAAATCCCTTATACCGAGTTGCTGATGAGTGCTCTCAGAGAGCAGGAGTGCTTCTTGACGTTGAACCTTTTTTGTGTTTGTTGACATGCGCACCTACGCTGCAACAAGATAGTGCTCCGAGTCGTTGCTAGGACCTCGGAGTGTACGCACGTGTAAAATACTTGAGACGTATCTTCCATCACAACATGATTCGATATGGTTGGTAGCCTTTCGTTTCGGAGATAGGCAGGTAGCCGTCGAAATCGATCAGCCTGAACCATTTTGGGGATGTTTCATTATTTACCGACTGTTGTGCCAAAGATATTTTCTTTGTCCACCAAGGCGTTAAAGTCGGCAAGCACGATGTTGACATTGTGATGGAACCAGCTCTGATACATACACTCCAAGCGCTTATAGAAGACATCTTTGGTCACATCGACCTTCTCTTCGTCGGGGCGTGGGCGCAAATCAGCGAAAAGTTGAAAAACTTTGCTTTAATATGGATTCTGGCTTGACGTTCATCTACAGGTGTAATTGCCTCGGCGACGGAGTGTCTCTCCCACCACGAATCTCCCACCGAATTTGCGTACCTTTACGTGGCCCCTACAGTAAATGCCACAAGGACCTACTCGTCTCAGTCCTTTTCCCCATCCATCACACTTCATGGACGACGTTTTCAGCTGCCATAAACAATCTTTCGCCAAAGACCCCTCTTATACCCACTGCATTATATTGCTTACATATCAAAATGTAGTAGTATAAATCAATGTGTGACACGTGCAGTTTCAAATTAAGTATGCATTTGACTTTAATTTGTGTTTGCGGTTGAATTATGATGCTCGTGTCATCGCAAAAAAATATAAGTAGTTGCCGACTTCAACACATTAGCTTGACATACAATTATAATGTGCATCAATTAAAAACTTTTTTCAAATGCGCAAATGAATGGCAAAGTCATACATTTTTGTCGGCTTTAAGCGAATCGGCACGGATACACACAAACATATTTATATCCACATATGTATACATTGGCACCTGCCCGAGTCATTAAAAGGCAATGAAATGCAATAAATTCGCTTACTTGTATTACAACATAATATTTTACGAACAATTAACGCAAAATACATATAAACAAATACCGCTATGTGAAAAAAACGCGAATTCCGTCGTATATTATAATTGCTGGCAAAATTTATGTTAATCCTCAGACAGATTTTATTACGTAAACATTAAATTTACCGCGTTAACAAGTAGCAAAGTGTGCACTTATGCACATGGACGTGTTTATTATGCATATTGTGCAATATGTTTGTATGTATTTACGTATGTATGTATGTTATGTGTGTTTGTATGTAAGTTATGTACGTATGCCAAATTTGCGGTTTATCGGGCTCTACCGAAGCCGCAAAGCTAGCTATCCACTCGGCTGTTGGCCATCTATTCGACTCATGCCTTTTTCAATGTATTGGTTAGTGTCTTTTTTGTTTTTGGAATAATTTATGAACAACAGGTTGCGGTTGTGGTTGTTCTTGAATTAAACTTTTAACATGCATACATACATACATACATACATACATACATGTTCATATATAATCTATATATACGTTTAAAAGTAGAGAGTAGGCGGGCATGTGTCCCTCTGTATGATAACAAGCGTAATTGAAGTGGGAATTAAAGGAATTAAAAATGTAGTTTTAATTTTTGCTTCGTTAATTGTTAATGTTGAACCGTTATCTTCCTCAAAATCTATAATTCTAAAAAGAAAATGTTTTCGCTTTAGAATTTCAGCCACTTTTCAGGGGACAATACCACACCGGCTAATGTATGTATATCTGACAACACGAAAATTGAAAAAAATATTACTGCTCCAGAGACTCAAAATATAATCACAGCAGTCTGCAAAGTAAAACCTTTATGAGTTTTGAATCAGAATGTATTGAAATTTGGTTTCTTTCTTTCGGTTTAGTATATTTGTCAAATTTAGTATCGTTGCTGTTTAATTTTTGAATTGCATTCGATGCAATTTTTGGTCGAATATAACTCGCCAAATCTCAATCGTTTGCTTGTTTTAATCCATTTATAGAAAGAACTATACAATATTCTTTTTCTTGGCCTTCAGAGAATGCTTTTTTCAGTTTCATCTCATTCTTGGATCGCCATTTCCTATATTATTAGACGGCTCCGACGGAATATTCATAACCCAAGTTTCGTCTCCAGTAATTATGCGTTTGATGAATATGGGACTCTCAGCTATGTGATCAAACATCCCTTTGTCGACCATTACTCGACATCGTTTAAGCAAAGGATTCAGCTGTTTTGCCCCGAATCTAACCTTTCTATAGGCTTCATAACAAAAATATTAACTAAACTATGTCTTTGAGACCTGTTTTGCTATCAGGATGCTCGATTCGCTTGAAGCAAGTTTTCGATAATTTCACAATCTTCATTAAATGATGTGTGCCGATGAAATAATTATGTTCGTGATAATTTATATAACTCAAAACACTTCTACAAAACTCAATGATTCCGTAGCTCATTTATGGAGAATTAATATGAATGCACGTGCAGTTTGAAGGCACCAGTCCGAGTCAAATTTGATATCCAGTGGACTATGAGATTATGCTCTATGTATCATACAAGTTGATATCTCTCTGCAGCATAAAATTAAAGTCGAAACGGATTCAGCTAAAATTCCCGAAAACTTCTGCTGAACCATTGAAGAAGGAAATACTGCTGAGGGCAGTCCTCATGGGCATGCCTCATGTCTAATAAACACAGCCTATCCGCTCTGCAGGTATAAGCTCCAAAGTAGTCATAAGCACTAAGATACCCAGTTAGAACGAACCAATCATAATGAAGGTTCTTATGGAAACTAAAAACTTTCAAATATTTTTTTAGTGATTTAGTTCTGGCATATTGACCGTTAAATATCGGTTAAGCAACTATTTTTCAGAGAACAGTAATTTGGAACGGCAAAGAATCCAAAAACATTATTAAAACAAGAAAAAACGTTAACTTAGGCTGCACCGAAGCTTATATACCCTTCACAGGTGCATTTCTTTAAGTAATTATGTGTTCAGTTTATATGGAAGCTATATGCTATAGTAATCCGATCTGGACAATTTTTTCGGAGTTTATATTATTACCTCAAGCAGTAATCCCTGTCAAATTTCGTGAAGATACCACGTCGAATGCGAAAGTTTTCCATACAAGCCCTTGATTCCGATTGTTCGGTTTCCTATACTGATAT